TAATAACTGATCACTCAGTGACGTAGCACTATACCTAGCCGCAGTCAAAACCCACTCGAACCTTCCGGGGCTTTTTGCATTATTAACCGGATAATGATGTATATTTCGCTGTATTCCTTACAAGTGAGTGTATATTAGAACAAATCTATCATGAATAACTCCAAAAAATGACTGCCCATAACTTTATATCTGATCAGTAGATCGCATGCCTTAAAAAGATGTCTCCTGAGACACTCGAGTCGATGACTCGCCTTTCCGTAATTGTCTGGTAGATTGGGATGATCATACTTCCACGGTAATTCTGCCTCAAAGTGGCCCTTTACAAGTCTGGGGGAATCAGCGACCACCTCCAGTGCCCTTTTTACTCTTCAGAATGTTCACCACTCACGTCTTCAAATTCATGATCACATGACCTTTCAAGATTGCCCGATATTTCTTGGCTATCTGACTTATGATAACATAAAACCTAAGGTGGCGACTCACGACACTGTTTTGGCCCTAACGAAAAATTTGTTCCAATAAGAGACGGCTGCTTCCTCCCTCTCAACCGTCCTCTCAGACCTCAATATGCATCTGGAATATCACAACCAACAGGGGGACCAGCTGCGCCATCCTCATTAATTTAATGTCATTCAGCTGTTCACGGGCGTTTAACTGTTCCTCAGTGGGGTGTTGTCAGGTAAGTATTGACTAGCGGAGGATTGCGCACGCCTTGCTTATTTTCACGGAGTCTATTTCATCCAAGGAAAATAGCTGCAGAACCACTTCAACACGGTAGTACTGGGAGACTCCATTTACCGTAACCATGTCGAGCCTTTGGTCATTTCCCTCAATTCCCAAACATTCAACGACCTTTCTAAAAACGAGACGTATCTGACCTACTATCCAGAAGAGCACATGTTTCCGGACACCTTTCATGACAAACTTCTCAGAGACTAGACCTTCTCAGAATTTTCTTACTCACAAAAATGTTACTGAACCCGTAACTTTGTTACTATTCACCAAATAAAATAGTGTGTGTTTTCGCACCTTGCATCCGCTTGCCTTACATACATTTCGTGAAGGACAGCGTCTTGCAACTTGGCCTAGTTTGTTGCCAACATAATTACATTTGGCTTCGTAAGAGTTTACCCCCCCTCCTTGACAGTCAAATCCTCCATTTTAGGACACTCGTCTAGGCTATGTGAACCCTTACACAAAAAGTAACCCTAGGATTCCTCTAGAACACTCTTCAGGCTACCTTGTAGTAGGCCTTTGAACTACATGACAGTAAGACACAGGATACTGTTTCTCTGCTCCTTTCCTTGTTATCTTCATTACGCTTGAGTAACACTCCATAACGTGTTCAAGCAAATCATTCTCTTCCACAGACTTAAATAAGTCCTCTATTTCCGTCTTCCTTTCGGCAACCAAAATTTCGCCAGCCACGTTAGCTTATTTTGCTTGCACTTCAGCAGGGAAATAGTCACCAACGTGTCCAAAAATAAAGAGGAGTTCAAACAAGAAACATATCCAGTGTTACGTGATATGGGTATTACGAAGTCTTATCGCGTTGCACGTAAGATCATCTCCAGTCATTCCGATGTGTTGAGAATCCCACACAGACTCGCTGACAAGCGAACGAATGATCATATGTTAATGCCCAAATAAATCTAACAGTCATTGCACCGCCCTTTCATACCCGAGCTCTGAACGGTATGCCACTCACGCTTCAATAGACTTTCTCGCTTTTCCTTGACAAAAACGCAAAACATATGTAAACATTTGCCCCTTGTCGCTCAATTTATTGTCAACAATTTTTTCAAACTAAAAAAGATTCTTTACTGACTAGTGTTACCACGGTGATTCCGATAGGTTCGAGAGGAATTCGTTCCCTCTTTTATCCCTTTAACTAACCTCAGACTCAATGGCAAGTTCCGAATAGATCTACCTCACCCATCCAGTTCTGACTTTCCGGCCAGTTTATCCTCAAATTCTAAATTAGATGGAAGATCCTTACTATAACTACGACAGTTGCATAAACTGTGCAAACGAACACTGACAATATCAACGCTACACAGATGTGTGCTTGGATTCAAGTTCTTCGAACACTGATTCCAGTCAAAATATACAGCCAAAATCACAAAAAAGCCCAGAAGGTACTCTTCGCTCTCCTAACCGAAATTGCAGAATTTGTATGCTAGGCCAAAGCAGGTTTTCAAAAAGTCCATCTTCATCATATTGTGACTTTTCTTGAAATCACATTCACCCTTCTAGTCATGCATACGTTACAAAGATGTTATGTAGATAACAGGTTATGTTGATGTATTAAACGGAAACGTATAGAAGTAACAGCCATATTATAAACCAAGAGTTTCAAGAATAATTTGATTCTTCTTGCCGGAAAAATTACCTGCTAAACATGTTATGACCTAAAAAATGTCAACTGTAAACTTTGGCACGGAAAGTCACTACCACCCAGGACAAGCACCATGCAGCTACTGGCGACCCATCTGTAGAAGTTTAAAAGCTTATAACATTACTTTTAGGCTCAAAGTTTGTGTGCTGGACCGCCAAGGAATCCGAAAGGAACTCATTTAAAAATAAAAAAGCCTATTGATGATAACATAGACAAGGAATACGCCTAAATGCATCTCCAATAAAGTTTTGACAAGTTTTTTTACCCTGTGGTCAACTCCTCCACAGGACGAAAACAAGGCTTTGAGGGTTCGGAAAGTGAGGTGGGAGCGATGGCGAAATTCCGATTTATAGGAGACTTTAATATATTTACCTCTGGTTTGTTCTCTTTCAAGTGCTGGAGTTATTCTTGTATTAATTATACATAGCTGATTTCACAGAGTGTGAAAGGACAATGAGGAAATTCTTGGGTTCTTTTGCTCAAAAATGATCACGAAATTAACACTCAAAAAGAAAGATAACTGAACATTTCAGTGAATATTGGAAATTAAAGGTCATATTTGCTTGGCGGAACACCTAATCACTTACCTCAATTTGAAAGCGTTATGGAATTTGGGCTATAAAGTAGATTCTGAGATTGCAGCTAACTGGAAAACGACGTATTCAGACTATCCACCGAGGAGAAATTGAGAAGAACACATCAGGAAATTAACCCGGCAGATAAATTATAGACCAGGTAATTAGTTAAATAAACACGTGCGGAAAGAGACATCAAGTAAACCATTAACTTTCTCAAGATACTTGAAATGATTGTGCATGAACGCTTACTCACGTTGAAGGTCTTATTTGATGTCGCGATTGGCAGAGGTCGTGATGGCAATAAATTTTGATCGCTAGACGGCGCTGTATGTTGACTTACAAAAATGGGCTAACTTTTGAAACATCTGCCAATATTGAGGAAGCAACTTAATAACCTTCATGAATCAAAAGCATCAATGAATTTGAATTGGACACTAGGAATGTTCAGTCAGTGGACAAATAAAAAGTGCTGTTAGAATAACCAATTTTTCCACCCATAGCGGGAACTCTTGAGTTCTAAGGTCAATATGTGGAAAGCAGTGGACTGCAGTTTACATATGAGCGAATTCGAAATGACACGGATTTGTGAAATAGTTCAGAATCTCCTTTCCATAAATCGACAATAATGAGAATAAACAAAAATGCATGAATGTCAGTCCTCAAAGCCTTAGTTAGTAGGTAAATCGTGAGTTATTGATACATTGTGTATACTGGTGTCAGGCATTACATCTAGAATTCTGTCTGCAAGCTCACTTGGTGCATCTAGGTCAACGGATTTGGAGGAGATAGTCAAAACCTGTTGGATATGCCGAGGCAGCCGTTGCAATCACATCTGTCGCAAAACCACTTCGTCAAATTTGTGCGAATTAAGCAGTTGACGCATATGCCTGAGAAGCTGAGATGGAGTCCGTGAGCCTAAATTGCATGCAGTGAGCAACTGCTGGATCCACTTCTCATCAGAAACACTCCTTTGGATCAAAACTGCTTTGAGTCTATCATATTGGACATCTGCAGGAGTGCTATCGATTCAATCACTAATGTCCTCGAGAACCTCTGTGGGCAGTGCAGCTAAGACACATCCAAACTTTGCGACCTGCGACTTAATACCTCGGGTAGCAAAATGGGGTCCAATGATGGCGAACCAAATCCGCGCCTCAGTGAAACCAAATGTAGGTGGACTCAGGTGAACGATTGCGTTGATTGTTGAGTCCTATGCCTCGTCAGTCTCAGTTGCAGCAAATGAAAGAGTGAATGAAGACACGGGTATTATGTAAATATACAGGTACACCGATATATAAATATATAGAATGTACAGTTAAAAATAAAAATGATAACAATATCAACATATAGTTTATAAAGCTAAGATGTTCAATCGGGCCCACCAATTAATTTTTAGGGGACTGTCTAGCGACCTCAATAACATAACAAATATGCGAAAAAAATCCAAGTCAATGAGATGATAGTGTGACAGTATATTATCAAAAATACAGTAATGAGTTATATTAATTAATATTATAATATATAATATAATATTATAATATTAATTGGATATACTGTTAAAGTCCGCTGCTGCAAATTATTAATATGATACACAGAAGCGTTCACTGTTGGAATCGTGTCTACTGATAGAAGCTGTGTGCTGTTGTAGAGTTGTCTTCGGATAAGGATAACAAGTTCCTGCAGTAAATCCAAAGTATACAACACGGTATGAATGGAGCAAGTAGACAGTAATGACTAATGAGAAGGCGAAGCTACCAACAGCACACTGTATTTCGGATTGTACCCGGAGGTTATCTGTATTTAAACATATATCTTTTTTTTAAAAAGTCATGTACAATGTCTCTAATTTCAACATCTAACAAAAAGTGTACAATCATATTTTTATGTACTCCACATACTTGCCTGTATGAAATATTCCTGATCAGGTCTCATACCTGTAAAAAGCAGAAAGATAACCATATGTTTATCTAAATGTACGTGATGCGTTCAATAGCCATCTATATTTGGCGATGAATTTCGGATAATATGGATCGATGGTTATCTACATGTCCAATGGTGAATCAAAATCTTAGGCGCTTGTTTTATATCTGAAATGAGATTTCGTTAGAATATTTACTATACTTATCTCACAACAGGGTCAGGTGAGTCATATGTGTCGTCCATTATCAAGGTATTAAGATTCACCTATTCATTGTGCGAATAAATCCGAATTTTCGGTACCACTGTGAATATTTATGCGCATGGCGTTATAGGTTCAGTAAGCTTCCGTGGTGTTATCTTTTCAAAGTTATAGCCCGTTCTAATCACAGTATCATCTGTTTTATACTTATTTTAGTATTATGCGCAAAGACTTATTTCTTGAGGAGGCGTGAATAACTGTATTTATTAGATTGGGTTACCATAGGTTGCAACTGGTTTATTTGTTTATTCAGTGGTTTACTCATTCCACAGACGTCTCGTACATCGGGTTTTGGTGGTGTTAAACTACAGTTGGAATCCTTATGTAGTTTTCTACCGACGTGGAGCAAATAATAAGAATTAAATAGACAGTTATGTGCAGCTCTAAAGTTGTACAAAACATACGTCAGACCGCACCTTGAAGTGCATACTATTATTGCACCCCCAATGTTTAGAAGAGACACCAGCCTCTTGGAAAGTGTTTAAAAACGGCCAATTAAAGGAGTAGTTGGTCTCCGAAACAAACCGTATGATGGAAGGCTGAAGAAATTAGGCCTATTCACACTTAGCTACCGTCAGCTTAGGGGGGATTTGATTACTGCCTACAAAATAACAAATGACCAGAATCACCCAAACAAAGGTGTTCTGCCATTGAGTAGGTATAGGCTCCCTCGTGGAAATCCTAGAAGGATAGCTCACCAGAAGGCAAGGACCCGGGTGTGCTCCCACTTCTTTTCCCTGCGGGTTTGCCATCCCTGGAATTCCTTACCGGCAGATGTAGCTATGGCACCATCTATGGACGTCTTTAAACGAAGGCTGGACAACCACGCAGCGACACAAGGAATGTGTCCAAATGGCCTATCCCCTTAAAATCCCATGCACCATTCAGGGGTAGTCAACTAAGTTCGTCGTTTTACTTCTTTACATTCTCTCCCGTCTTACTCTCCTGACAACTTTAACTACAATATATGACATAAAATAACGAAAGCTGAATAGTTTTTAAAATTGGATAATAAGAATTAGTCATGGATGCGTTCAGAATTGGAACAACTAGCTAAATTTGAGTCACATTAAAGCACATTTCACCATATATGACTTACTACCGTAGAATTTCGAGATTTATCATGAATAGACTAAAACCACACGCATCATTGGTTATTTTCTGGATTTAGAAGGCTTCTATATATTTTGGGATAAAAGTTAATTGAGTTTGCAATACGATTTTATTGCCTTTTACTGTTCTAAGCGTATCAGTCGAAGATTAATGATGAAATTATAGCCGCTGTAGATGAAGTTCTAATCCAGCTTAAGATATCAAAAAATCCCAAGAGATGTAATTAAGAACACACAAACCAGCAAAGAAATCCCTTTCCGTAACTTCACTTCAAACGGCTTAATATGTGCAACGTTAATTGGCAAAAAGGTCAGAGGTCACTGTCAGTAGTACTTTTTTCCATCTATAGCCCTCTTATTTCCTGTCCGTTATTTCCGAATGATTATTCTTCACAAGCTAACCAGTCATCAACTCCCTTGATTGCGTAAGATTATTCACTATTTTTCATACAATATTATTTATCGTACACTTTAAATTGTTTTGCTACTAACTGACAGTGACCTTTGCTGTCAATTAACCTTGTATATTAATCAATAATTAATATAGTTTATTTCTTTTGTGTTCCCAGTGGAACATAAATCTTCAAGTTTCAGTAGCAGTGGTGTTTATTTTTTTACAGAGTTGGTTGCTAGCTACGTGCCCAAATTTCCCTCTCTACCGGGCCTACCACCGGCTAAACGAGGTAAATGAGTGTGTCAACAGGGGATGGAACCTCTGACCAGTGAACCATCGACGCACTAACATTGTATACATTAGCCCCTAAATAACTGTACAGCTTCGAAATGAAGTTAAGAAAACGGATCATTTTTTACATACAATACTTTCTATAGTGTTCTGTATGGTTATTAGGAGTATTTTTCATGGCACCATGCAGTGGCAGTTTTTGAATATATTTCATTAATTTCCAATGTGGAAATGAATTTGGTGCACTACTTATGAGCTTTTTATACACCATATCTCTTGAAATAAGTGATTTTCTGGTGCTTAGATCACTACCTTCTTTTTGGCTAATTTATATGTTTCAGGACAGTTTGACTTTCCAACCATGCAGTCACAACTGTCACTTCAAAAGCGCCTTAGAAACATTAGCTAGAATGTGCAAATTAATGATTAGACATCAAAGTGGTAAATATGATAGTAGTGAGGCAAAATAAATATTTAGGAGTAGGCAGTCTAGCGCTAAGTCTAGGAGAAAATTCTGGTAAAACTAAGAATACTTCCTCTTAGCAGTAGTTCTCAAAATGTCATAGTTTGTAGACTAGCCATCAGGACATTAAAAATAACTTATTTGGTTGCTTCAGTTAGTCGTAATATGATGCTACATCTCCAGTCTTACGTCTTTTTCCACACAACACATTTAATCGGGTTCTCTGAAAAGTATTTATTGTCTTAAAATTAGAGCGGAAATTGTGACTAACTTATTCTTACCTAACCTAACAGTAGTCGGTATTATACTTATCAACAGTAAACTTAAACAGACTTCAAATTCTTTTTATTTTGAAGGCTGAAGAGGTGTCCAGAACTCCAAATATATGGAAAGAAGCTCGTAAATGGTCGGAGATCAGTATGGAAGTGGTATGTTACTTTTAAATTCAGCCTTACACTTCACTTAGAATTTAAGTCCATCTCATACCTGTAAACCGCCTGAACCACCGATTCGTTCTTCCAGCACATTGTTAGTTCATATTACTTTGCTACTAATTACTTTAGGCATCGACATTCCACAAATGTGGCCCCAAAGAAGCCACTCCCAGATCTACCGAAGAAAGCTGGAAGAAATAGAAGTAACTACATATTCGATAAATTATTTTTCTATGTATATCTTACTATATATTATCTTCAATATATATATATAGTATCAGCTTATCGCGTTAGTTAAATAATTAGTTACATCTAGAAAGCCATCACATGCCCTTTTATACATCAAAATCAGCCGTGTTAACAGTGTAGCAAAGGTGCTCATATGCACATTAAGAAAAAAACAGAGATATATACTTTTTAGTGGGGTCCCAAGTATCATTAATGACCACTTTGATGGTTACACGTAGTGATCAAGATATTACAGGTCTTTTTACTGCTTGTCAAATAACTTCAACAAAAGTCTTCCTTCAAAAGATGGGTCCTTCCTCTTACGATAGCTGATTATCTTGACCGGATCAGCTAGTCGAAAGTTATATATTATGGTATAAAGTGCGACTTCGAAGACTTCGAATAATTATGGTGAGATACTGAGGTGTTTTCTAACTTTGCTCATGCGGATTCAGTGACGTAAAGGGTTTTTCCATGTCGAAATACATTTTAGATGTCTAATGGACTAGTATATAACTCCCTATGAAGTGAAACTATTCTTTACTGAACCCTTACACAAACCAGTGTCTAGCATCTGAAAATTTTAATCTTTCTAAACATCTGTTTTGTACCCCATAGTTTGTAACTCTTCTCGACAAGCATTTTAACAGCAACACTCTAAACGTCTACTGAAGGTGTCATATTCAGCACCTATTAGGCATTACTGTTATTCTGTTCAGTTTCTCGGATAGTGAAGAATAGTTCAGTTCAGAAGCTTCCTTTTTGTCATTTCTATTTATGTTGGACGTCTTTTACACACTTTTAGCTCTCTGATCTGTTACTAATTTCTATCTTTGTCAACTTCTCTGAAACATCTGAAATTTTTAGGTACCCTAAACGAAGGATTCATTTTTCTGGTTATCTACAGTTGATTATTCTTCTGTTACTTGTTTTTAAATTACTCACCTCAAGGGGGGATTTTATATGTTAATAGCTTACCAACACGTAGTCCCGAATGGTAAATTCTTTGACTACTGGTAATTATCATCAGGTTGTAACAGAAAGAAACTTATCCGCCCTTATAATATTCGAATATCTTATGCTCAGTCTCAAAGTTAGACACTTAACCACCCACCAATTTATGTAACAGTCAGTTCACCGTAGAACTAAGTGATGTATACAAAGAGGTTACCAGGTGATAACTAGTATTGTTTACGAGTACTTACTTGCTAGAAATTTGTCAGCTAAGTTTAATTCTTAATGTCTTGTGCTGTATCTTTCAGCTTAATGCTCACATTGCAAATCCCTTCAGTAAACTTTTTTTATAATTGAGGGTTTTTTAAAAACGATACTCACTGTATGATCATTAGTTAGTGTAATAAATTATGCGTCAATCCCACAACATTCTATTGCGGTGATTGTCACAGAAATTTGCATTTCACTGTGGTCGTGTTCTTATCCGTTAGTTTTCAGCCTACTGCATTAAAAGACAAGACAGTGTTGTTACCTTGCATCAAATATGCGTAGTCTTACAGAGCAATATGTAAACCGCCACGTGGGTAGTAAGTTGTATTTGCCACATTGGTTTGTAGTTTTGGGTGCTTTATCTGTCATTTTGTTCATTGTGTTAATGAAGATTCAATGTAGTGATAGCCTTTTATTTTTTATTCAGCAGTTTTCATTTCCTTTTTATACAGTTTGTCGAAGCAAAAAATTCGCTGCAATTTAGGTATAGGTTGTGCGTCGGGGGAGGGGGGACAGCTGTAGAATGCTCGCAAACTACTCAGGTGGTTTAGGGTTCGATCCCCAGCCGACTCACTTTACCTCGCTAAGCCAGTAATAAGAGGCAAGTTTGGGTATGAGGCTGGCAACCCCATCCCGTAAAAATAAATACCACTGCTGCCGAAACTTTAGAGCTCCATCTTGAAGACCTCTGTTCTACTAGAAATGTAAAGAAATAAGATAAAATCAATTAGGACTAGTTTGTGTAATTACTTTAACTTATTTCTTATTTTTAATAGTCAGGTTGTTCAGGTTACCTAAACTGTCGAGTGATCCGAAAATTTCATCTCCATTGTGCGTTAGTCATGAGTTACATGTGGTCTTTGATGAAAATACGGGGGAATTTCGTGTAAGTGAATGGTTTTAAACAAATAATAAAAGTAAAATCATTCGAATTCTTTGATTAACATGGTCATTGTGTTAGACTCAGTTTTATGGTTTACTTGCATTTATAGTGACTGTTTTCATGAATCCAGTTTACCTGTGGATGTGCAGTGCGATAATTCCGTTTTTAAGTAGAGCTAATTTTTAATTTTTCTTTTAAAATGTTATGCGTGATTTTGTGGTGATTTCAAATATTTAAAACAAGCAACGAATGTTAGTAAGGCACGATATACCAAATTCACCAAACTTCAGTAGAAATCCTAAGTTGAATACTCTTCATACTATTTTACGTATAATCTGTGAAATATATGGGGAAATATGTGACTAATAAATAAACTACAATAAAGCAGTGATAGCAAAACAAAGGATGAATATTTCAGTATAGATTCTACCACAAACTGATATCAGTTAGAGGATTACTGGAAATTAGAGGACATCGGAGAGTTGTTTTATCCTTATTTCGAGCTTTTCATCAGTACGCACCCACGATGTCACCAGGGATCCATGACCCATGGATCCTAACTTCTGCTGATTCGTGATATAGTACTCACCGTTGACCAATGCTGTCGATGAGTGTCCGTCTAAAACTAGACATGTCAGACCCCGCTGATTGTCCATAGCAGTACTTCTTGATTTAAGGTGATTCTGTAACTGATGTTGGTTCGTGATAGAATCTATAATGAATTCAATCAGAACCCCAACAAAACCCAGACAGTGAATATATCTAACAAGTCACTCACTTAAACGAGGTGGAAAACTATGAGTAATTGAAAACTAAGATTATAACAGATTACAGTTTAATTAGGTCACTGTACTGTTAAATAATTAGGTATCGGAAAATGAATTCGGTAATATTAAGAACTGTACAAAAAACAGTAATAGTTAAAGTGGAACCAGTTAAAACAGTCAGAACTTGTTGAAATAAGTCAGTCAACAAAGAAACTTTAGTCCTATGCATGTTGGCATTTATCGTGATTGTGTATCTGCAACCAGCTAATTCCTCTCAAAATCTTACTTTATTCAATATGCGGTGTGCGAAAATTGACTTTAAGTGGGTAAATAAGTGCTGCTTCTTTATGATAGTAACTGTGAGTTGTCAGCGTTGATAGCTTAAAATGCTGTACTCATTTGGCTCTTTTTTCCGCCATCCTATTGTTACTGGCTGAATATAAACCATTTAACATACTCTTTTCATGGTTTCTTGCATTCAGTTAGATGTCTGAGTAAGTTACTAGACGAATTTATAACACTATTGAAATCTTATGTTTGTTGGAATTGGCTTGATTCTGAAGATGTATTTCGACACGAACTAACATCTGCACTAGAATCCACCTTAAAATCAAATATATGAATATGTCTCAAGGTACCAACAGTTCCTGAAAAGGCCTTATTCTTACAAATACAGTTCCCTAGGAACAACATCAGCGAGATATTACACACCATCTTACAAATGCGGTAAAAAGAGCATTCCCAGCTGCCGAATTACGCTGTATCTTCAAAATCACTCCTCTTTTGCATTGGGAGTAAAAGACAAACTGCCTAATTTCGCCTCTTCTGTGTGCATCAGCAGTTTAACTGCTCATGTAGAGCCAGTTACATAGGCCGTACAATTAGGCATGTTTCTCGTCGAATTTGCGAACATCACCTTGTGGTGGTTAAGTAAAGGACAAACAAAATCTATTCGCAGCGCTATTCTATCTCATCTTGTGGATACAGAACACAAGATTGATGTTAACCATAGTTTCAGGGTCATTTACCGCATACCAACAAATCTCAATTTCGCCTTAAGAGTTCGACTACTAAATACTGCTGAGGCTGTTGGGATCCATATTAAGAAGCCTAATTTGTGCGTCCAAAAGAAGTTAGTTCAGACATTATCCTTACCTTGGCCATCTAGTTTTGAATAATCCTGAATTTTTGTGGAATTTTCCTCATTTTAGTTGATATTCTGTTTGCTACTATATCTTTATCATTATTATAATTTAAGCATCTTTAATGAACTGCAATAGCATTGATCTTACTTTACAAATCGATATTATTTAAAAAACACTAATATTGTTAGTGACTACCAATCTAGAATATTCTATGCATATAAACATATATATAATTGTAGAGCCAGAAGAGGAATTTATCGAAAAGTATATTCTATAGATGTCTGAATGAATATTTTCGCTATATTATAAATAGTTGTTGATTAGTGAGTGACTTCAAGATGGATTTGTTGGAGTTTTAATGAATAGTCATGAATAGTGGTGTCCACAAAGCCATGAATACAGATAAATACCGATGATATTGTGTTACAGTGGGCCTATAATGAAAATTGCCAGGATTTTGATTGAGCTGTTGCCTGAGCGGTATACTATCTGACTAGTTATATGAAGGTTTTGGGTTCAGTCTATTGTGGAGTACCGAATGTGTAGAGAATCCTGAATTAGGATAAATCAGGTATCCAATGATTTTTTGTCTTCAAGATTTCTCTAGTTGATTTTGATTTGAAATGAAATCTGTCTGTCGTTTTCAAAAGCAAGAGCGAAATGCCTTTCCTCCTCACACTCATTTCTCAACCCCTATGAGAAGCCTTTTTTATTTCTTCGTAGTTACATATATGAACTATGGACTACCTTTTCATCCATGACTGAAGTATTGTACACATTTTATCAGTCACTAGGAATTGTAAACCACTTAAGAACTTTGTGATGAGCAAAGCAACTTCATTAAGTAATGTGTATTGCATACTGATCTTTATTAAGGGAATGCCTGAAGAGTGGTTGGAATGGCTACATGCAGCCAATATATCATTTCAAGAACGTGAACAAAATCCAGAGCTGGTGATTGAAGTTTTACAATGCTATGATACAGCTAAACATCGTGCAAGGCGACAGAAATTTATTATGACAGAAGATTCCAGTTGGGGTAAGAACCGTGATTTTTTGACAATTGTCACATAATTTCAAATTAACTCATTATCTCTATAACAACATTAATGACATTTGAACAAGAAAAAGAAGTATTGTTATATGAGATTAGTAAATCATCCAACGTAATTATGAATTGCGATTAGTCAAATTCTTGATTGAAATTCATATAAATAAGCTTTATTGTATCTCAGTCATTATTCCCGAAGTTTGTTTTAATAGAAGAACACAGAAACATAAATCAGCGAAAATGATAAAAAAAGTGCTACGCCAATAGAGATAACTAATAAGTTAGAAATATAAGATGCAATGGTTTTTAGCACCTGTTTCAGATGATAGAGTGCTGTGCCTCGTTAATTATTCCAGTGTGTTTAAGCTTTATTACTTTACACTGGTTTTCAAGTCATACATAGGTTCAGTTCTTCAGAATTGAAATCGTGGTTTTATACGCACAAAAACACTTGTTTATGATTAATCACACACAAGTGAAATCATACATATTTCGAACGTTAGTAGAAGCGTATGAAAAAACCTGCATCAACTGGTCAGTATACTCATTTTTTCAGCTCCGTGCATTTGAAATACAAACACAGTCTGATAAAGTGCTTGCTCCACAGAGCAAGAGCAATCCGCTTTGACGAATATCTAAATGAAGAGTTTAATTTTATTAAACATTTACTGAGTGAGAACGGTTACCCAGAAAAATTCATCGACAAAAGTATCAATCAAAATCCAAGGCAAACCAAAGTAACAACAGTTCCAAAGCAGGTCTTGTTCTTACAACTTCAATTCCTCGGGGATAACATCAGTGAGATACTAACACAGCGCCTAAGCAACGCGGTATAAAGAGCATTCAGTGCTGCTGAAGTATGCCTCGTATTAAAAACCACCCCCATTTGCATTCGAGAGTAAAAGATAAACTACCTAATTCCACCTCTTCTATGTGTAGCCATCAGTTTGACTGTTCCTGTGGAACCAGTTACATACGCCGTACAATTAGGCGTGTTTATCGTAGGATTTCGGAACACCATTCTACGTGGTTAAGTAAGGGACAAAGAAAGTCCATTGATAGACCTATACCATCTCATCCCGTAGATACAAAACGCAAATTTGATGTACACAAGGCCTTCAAAGTCATCTACCGTATACCGACTAAGCTTAAATTTACCTCAGGAGTTCGCACGTTACATATTGCTGGGGCTGTTGGAATCCACATTAAGAAGCCTAACTTGTGTACTCAAAAGAAGTTGGTTGAGACGTTTTCCTTACCGTGCTGGCCATCAAGGTTTCAATGATCCTTAATTTGTTGTAGAGATTTCCTTAATTCTATTTGGTATTCTGTTTACTAATACATTTTTATGCTTATTATAACTTATACATCTTTCTCGAACTGTATTTTCATTGGTGCTAACAAATTGAGAGTATTTAAAAAACACAAATATTGTTAGTGACAATTATTATAGAATATTCTGTGTATATAAATACATATAATTGTAAAGCCGGAAGAGGAATTTATCAAAAAGAATATTCTTTACTCAAATTTTCTCTTGTAAAAATTGATAAATGAAAATTTTCTCTTTCATTGAAATAGTGAAAGTTTACAAATCTGCTTACTATGAAGGCTAGAATAAGCAAACACACACAAATACACACATGGTCTTTCAGAATGTTTCATTTCTGATAGATTACCTCAGTTTGATCATTTGACAAAACTATTCACTTATTATTCTCATTCCTTTCGTCGTCGAAACAAACCAAACACAACTCTCGTAATTTTGCGGGTGTAATTATGTTGTTGCCCTAATTTTTGCTTTGTCTGTTATCCCTTCGATATTTTGACATTAATAAATTAATTTATTAATTACTTCCCGGTTTTCATATAATGCTGGTAAACTCTGCAGTTGGCGTTGTACATGTTCTGATAGCTTTTGATCCTATCGGTGTTCAGTTTCAGTACTAAGTTTAATTTTTTTTGTCTCAGTGCATTCTCCTGATTACTATTTACTATGAAATGAATCAATGGTCCCCTGTTAGTTTCATTTTTTAAGGAAATTTACATTTGCATAACTGTCAGCTAAGAAAAAATGTAATGTTTAGTTCATTGCATGCTACTCAAAGTCTGTGTGTATACTTCACATTGATGCAGGTAAGCCATTCACAGTAGAATTATCATAGTAATTCTTTTTAAAGTCTATGATTGGTCAGTTTTGGGTTGATTATTCAATGGTAATAGTAATAACACAACTAATTTTATTTATTTTGTACCGTTGTAAATTATATGTTTGTACTTCCAATAATCAATAGAAGGGAAATGAAATTCTCCCATAACTAACCCCATCATTCCCTATCATGAATAATGAATCGATTAGATCCATATAGTCGAGTTATTTTTTTGTTTTGCTCATGTTGTCTTTGTCTCTGTCCTATTTTTGTATATCTATGCTGCACATTGTTTTCTAGACAGGATTATTTATATATATATATATATATATATCGTACGTACAGACAAGATGTCTTTGGAAACGATCCTGATAAAATTTATCGATTGAAATAGTCAGTTTTTCAATCTACATATATTTATGTTTCAACAGGCTATCACCCTCTACATGTAGACTAGTTGCATACACATGTAACTTACACAGCGTTCTCCATAAGATCGCTTTATTTCACTACGTGTAAGAATTTGTAGGCACGACGAATTTTCTAGGAAAAATTAGAGAAGGTTTTTCCAACGGCTGTCCATAGACGATTGATTAGTCAGTTCCCACTTAGTGTAATCTAGTCAAGCAGTGGTGTTGTATACTTGCAAACACTGAAAATCCAAATGCGTTAAGTTATTGTTTCCATATTAGTTCTAGACTTTTGAACAGTTTTATACTTATTCAAATGAACTGTCGTCAAGATTTGACAGAATAGTTCTAAAATATTTGGGCACCGAGTGAGAAGTAGATATTTGTAAAAACTTATATTTGTAAAGTCTCAGCGAGATTGAAATAAGTAATTCCAACGTTTCGTTCGGCAATCTGGTCCGAACTTCTTCAGGGAAATTAATCGAAATTAACATAACAGGGGTTTATATATAAAAAGGAACATCACTTGATTTGCAAAAATTTGTCTAATCATGAGTCATTCAAAAAAGTATCAACAAGTATAGTAAACAAAATTTTATGAGCTGTGATCAAAATTTGACCTCGGACTTACAAATATTGGTCTACCTATGTTAAACACTTTAAACAGAGTGTGTATGTGTGTGTGGGTAAACAGTTGTAAAACATTTCTTAACGTCTTCATAGGAAGATATAGACAGTCAGGAATTTGACCAAGTATTATTAATTAGTGATACATATCCATTTTTATTTATTAATCAGGATTTCCTATGCATCAGCTAACATCAAACCATCATGTCCGTTCAAACTGCTAGTATCTAGAATTTTATGGTTAGACGTATTTTCAAAATTATGGTGTTTAGGATTAGAGTTTAGTTTAAGCACCCTGTCGAACTTATTGCATTGTCTTCTTTCTGAATATTGAGCTGCTTTATTCGACCTACTGGGGTTGTCAGGTGACTCGACAGCTACGGATTTAGGATGTGCAGTTTGTTCCAGACAACGGAGACTGAAAACACGATGATTGTGCCAATTACATAGTTTCTTTGTTAATTTAATTTGATTGCAAAATAATTCAAATGAACTGTCGTCAAGATTTGACCGAATAGTTCTAAAATATTTGGGCGCCGAGTGAGAAGTAGACATTTGTAAAAATTATATTTGTAAAATCTCAGCGATATTGAAATAAGTAATTCCAACGTTTCGTTCGGCAATCTGGTCCGAACTTCTTCAGGGAAATTAATCAAAATTAACATAACAGAGGTTTTATACATAAAAGGCACATCTTTTTAAAAACTTTGTCCAATCATGATACATAAACATAAGTATTAACAAGTATACTTGGTCAAATTCCTGACTGTCTATATCTTCCTATGGAGACGTTAAGAAATGTTTTACGACTGTTTACACACACACGCATGCACACTCTGTTTAATGTATTTAACAAAGGTAGACCAATATTTGTAAGTCCGAGGTCAAATTTTGATCACAGCTCATACAATTTTGTTTCTTATACTTGTTAATACTTGTGTTTATGAATCATGATTGGACAAAGTTTTTAAAAAGATGTGCCTTTTATGTATAAAACCTCTGTTATGTTAATTTTGATTAATTTCCCTGAAGAAGTTCGGACCAGATTGCCGAACGAAACGTTGGAATTACTTATTTCAATATCGCTGAGATTTTACAAATATAATTTTTACAAATGTCTACTTCTCACTCGGCGCCCAAATATTTTAGAACTATTCGGTCAAATCTTGACGACAGTTCATTTGAATTAATTTGTGATGGGTAACAACTGCAATTTGTGTGATTTGGCTAACATCTTATAGAAACTTAGTAAGGTAGATAGAAATATATTTAGAATGTTAATCTTGACTATCACCATAATTTATACAGAGCATAATTTATTGAGAGCGCTATGAACCATGTCACTAACAATCTTAAACTGCTTATTCTTACCGTCTTTAGGACGACAGCAAGATAGATTACATCTCCGTACGTGTCTTAAACCTACCGACGAATACTTCATAACATGTTTTGATTTGACTGCCCCTCTCTTCTAAACTGATCCTTCGCCAACTAATACCACTTGACGAGGAAAGCAGTGAGTTTACACGTGTGTCTCATCCAGCTCAATCGGTGCAGCTTCGCAGTCTCATGATTTGACTTTACTCCTTTATTTAACACTTTACCTGACTGCAATACTACTCAACATATTTTAACATTCAGGCTGACGAATTAGACGCAGATATCTATGGTCATAGACAACGAACCTCTTCAGTTCTCCTACTTTAAACATCCATTGCTGGCAGTCATTAAGAAGGACAAAGCGAACTAATGAGTACTGCACACATAGTCTGGTGGGTGGCCAGACATCCTGTCTGCGCGAATGATGGAGCAATTTCGCAAATACCAGACGAGTCTTTTGTTGTCAAGGTGTGATCTCGTCATTAAACACCCTCAACTATTTCACTACTTATTTTTAAACCACGATTCGGTTTAGACGAGTTCTGCATTTAACAGGGGCGAGTTACATGCCAAACATAATTTCTTTTTGTAATCTTGTATCATGTACATACTTTAGACTGAGAGACTGTGTGGCACTAACAAGTCAATCTCTAAGTCACTAAAGTCGACAAGGATCACATTCATTTGTAAATTTGTTATGAAATTAGATAGTTTAAAAAGTGCTATGAAAAATCTTTGTGCAGTACATTAACTGAAAAAAGGCATTTTAAGTGAGGTCGAAAGCGTGTATTTGTAACTCACTTATTGGAGTGGCTGATTACTAACCTGTAGGTATTCAGCTTGAATGCTGCTACTACCGGTGATCAGTCTATTGCATCAGTACCAATCTATGCGACAAAAATTGTTTTACCCAGCCTTAGTGAATACAACACTAAACTATGATGAGCTTTATATCAAACTTGTGGGTTTTTACTTATTTCTTCCACGTAGATCGAGTTATTATGTAAATAAATAACGATTTTCAATGGGATTATTTTTGAATAATACTTCTGTTATGCCAGTCAAAAATAAATACACTCACTGAATGATAATAGAGTAGTAATTCAGGTTATTCGTAAACTTAAATTCTTCAGAATATATCGAATTCGTAAACGTGGAAATATTTATCTCATATCAATTTGTTTATTAGATACATCACACAGCGAAAGAGTATTATTTACTGGGTGACTTTTGGACACAATTTATTGTTCATAAAGGAAACTATAAATCGAAAGTTTCGAAGTCGTGTGATTATAATTGATATGATTATGAACAATAAATTTCGTTCGAAAAGTCATCCAGTAAATACTACTGTTTCACTGTGTGATTTATCTAATAAACAAATTAATATGGTATTACTTACTGCAACAGTGCCTACGTTTTACACATGTATTAATTTATATTCCACTTTTCGTATTGTGTTTTATTTCTGGAAACTACTTTGTAACGTTATATCAAGAGATGGAGAAAGCATACTCACCGAATACTATTACGTATAATGATATTTTTGCATTCACAAAATTCAGCACTGATGTAAAATGCGATATAAAAGTAAAAATAAGGATCTCACGATAAATGCTATTAAAAATTATTAGGCTTGTTTCTATTGATATTTTGGGAATTCTTTTACTATGCACATTTATTTTCCACATTGAATTTGGTTTATTCTGTACTAAAACTAATTGATCGTTTTGATTACAGAAAACTTCAGTAACATAGCTTCATGCGTGTGTCATGAGTTTATGGATCATGAAGTATCAGCTGCTAACAATACATGCAGGAAATTTCAACACGATTCAGTTGGTTCACAGTCTTCAGCAGCTTCACACTCTGTTTCTGGTGGTTCTCCATGTTCAAATATTCCTAGGTTTTCTCATTCTTGCCGATTTTCTTATAATTCACCAACAAACGTACCACCACCTGTTCCACCTCACTATACAGTTAGTCGCGATGTGAACTCAAAAAATGCTAATGATGTAAGTTCATAATAGTTTCATTTAGAAATAATAAACTAAAAATAATTTTTTGACATTTGGCTTCCTAACAATAGTGCCATGGTATTTCCCCATCCAACAGTTTTTCAAAGATATGAGTTTTGTAGGCCTAAATTTCACCGCTGATTTAATATGTTTCTTATTTTTCCGTAGTGCATATATATCTCATTCTAAGAAAGTAATATAATGTTTGCGTTCTTATAAGGTCCAAGTTGGATTTGAGAAAAGTAACTCACTGATAAGTTTAGGTGGTGGTTACTCTATATCCTAGACTAATCGAAATAAACAATGGTGGGTCATTGTTTTCCAACTCACTCAGTGAATGTTATTCAGGTTAATGATGTGATAACTAGTTACATTACGTGTTAACAGTCAGGTAACATGTAGGCTTGCTTAATGAATGTTACTTGACAGTTACCAAAGAACCATAAATTCAATCTTTAAGTAGATTATATCTCCTGAATTATTCGAATCTGAATCACTAGGAAGTTATGCTTTTCAGAATATGACCCTAAGCAAGGCTGAACTGTGAATACCAATTGATCAATCTACGACTGACTATTTGATTGAATTACGCATACTTATTACTGATACGAATTTAGTTTTATTACCTAGTTTTGGAAATGGAATTCCATTTCACCAATGTTTTAGCGAGGATGAATTTTTTACATATTTTTGGCCATAAGAATTTATTTTCATTAGAAATTTCTGTCAAAATTTAAACACAAATTCCCCTTTCATAAATATAAACAGAGATAGAACAAAAATTGGTCCATAATGATACGGTTCCATTTTATTTCGTCAGTTGTCGCCAGCCGAGTACGACCTATATATTCAATAAAACAAGTTATAATGAAATTTTAACATACATTTTGTTCATCACGGTAGATCATTCCTCCAGTAAGGATTGTTGTAAGACAGTTGTAGTTAAACAAAACATAAGGATGATAAGGTTATCTCTGATTATCAGTATACATACATATTTAATAAGAGCGAAATTTCTCGTAAGAAATGAACAGTTTTGATGTTAGGGTAATGATGTCACTGGTAATTGCGCGATTAGAGACAATAAAATGCAGTGAAAATCACAAGATTGGGAAGTCAAAATTTAGTGTGTACGAAGTCGAATGAAAAGGTGATGTAATAGAGTGGGTAGAATCCAAAGGGTAGAAGATTACGTCCATTATGAGAGTCGAGAGGAATATAAAGTGGGGGGGAGGGTGGTTGTGAAACAAAATGATGAAATCAGAAGTGAAAGGATTACTAAGATGAGAGTTACCAGGGGGACTGAAGTCCCACGACGGATTCATTTTGGATACAGTAATTACATTGCTATAAATTCAGTAAACCTCAGTAGACTTAAATTGTTTTGTGTGTTGATTATTTTGAATGCTGCCAATGCATCCATTCGGTATCTTGTGTCTAACAGGTGTGTGGTAATTGACGAGTCTAGACTAATCAGTTCCTTTCTGTGCAAGATTTTTCATAACATTCTGTCTACTCATATATTTTTTTGTTCTTTAGTATTTTGTTGTAATCACCTTGATATGATTATGAGCAATAAATTGTGCTCGAAACGTCATCAGTAAATATTACTGTATAACCCTGAGAGACTTTATCCAAATAAATTTTTACCAACAATGGAATTATACTCTACCACAGTGCACAAGTTCTATTCTCATATTGTTGTATCTTTGTTTGATTAAACAAGATTTGATTGTTTAATCTTATTTGTTACATGCAATACACTTATCGATAAATCCTTCAAAATTATTAAAGCACTAACAGAGACAAGAGACTTTACAGTTATGCTAGTAAAACCATATTTCACTGGCTTGCTTTCATTCATTTACTTTGGCAAATAGATTTTAAGCTATGTGTAGTAATACTTCAGCATTTGTATGTAGATTGTCTCAATCAGCGTCTACGAATGTAGTAATTAAAAGAGCACTTTCTTGTGAAATAAAGTATTTTGTAGACAGATGTTACTTTGACACATTTCTTGTAAGCAAAACCTGATTTCTTTAAATGCTTGAAATCAATCCAGTACTTGCGTGGAAGAATGACACAACACGAAATAATCTTTTAATAAGGAGCGGTGGTGAGAGGTGGCCGCCTGTAGGTATTTTTTGATGAGACTTATTGGTGAACAATATCTATATTCCTGAAGAAAGCAGTAATTTCTCGTAGACTCAAATCAACACCATTTCGAAGTAAAATCAATGGTTTTACTATTGAGCTATTTATCTGTAGCTACGTATTTAATTTATTTTTTAGTAACCAAACGGTAACCAGTGTCACTGTATTTATTGTAAGCAGCTACATGAATACATTCTTGCTTGGGAACAATAACATTGGATGTTGCAGATATGAATATCTGAAAGATAGTCAGTTACGTAGAGATTACAGAGCATATTGTTACCGATTCTTAGCAAGCACAAAGTTTTGTAGCACGAATTCCGTATACTGTCACGTTAACCAGTCTGATGAACATTATGAATTATAAGGACCATCAAATCTCTAATCATGCTTATATATATATGGCTTTTACCACGTCCTAATATTCGATCTTGATATTTCGTTTAGTTAAGAAACCACCCTCACTCTACGACTGTTAATGCTGAAGAAAATCTTTCGAACTATTTATTTGATTATTTTTATTAATAGGATGACGAAATACTGTCAAATGAAAGAATCAAGTCGGACTCACAGTTAGAACAGAAATTTTTGTCTGGAAACGATATTTGTTTTGTAGACGCTAATGTAGATTCTGAGCATGAATCAAACCAATTTCACATTTCAAACGTTCATCATCATTTTAAGGCATCTAATGAATACGCTGACTGTGAATCAATTCGTAGTTATTCTAATATATTTTACAGTTCACTGCCTATAGATGAAATGGATATTTCTCAAGAATTAAATATAAAGGATCTACCCTTTCTAAATGTTAACCTTGCTGACGAAGAAGCTGAAGGACAAGATACACGTCGAAGTGAACTGCCTAAAGATGAAACAGAGTGTGATATACATCAGTGCAATCTTGATGAAGAAAACAATTTCATTATTGAAGCAGAACCTTATGGAGTTGAAGAAATAGAAGTATATGAATCAGAAAAGTTATCTGATATTATTGCTAAGGACAAATGTAATCACCCTGCTGTAGAAAGTGACGTGAGTTGATTGTTACATGATTTAATTCTTAAAATGTTAAACACTTTACGAAGCCGAGGTCTGACTGAAATGAATCAACCTAATTGGGTTGAATGAATTTGCTCCATAGATGCAGTTGACTGGTGCGAATAACTGAAATCTTTTCACACTAAATAACAGTCAGGTCAAGAATATTTAAATACCGTACTTTCATTCATCTCGTTTGAGGACAGATTCATCAATAGTGTATTCGAACAGATTTGGCTAAGTGAGTAGGAATTTAAAAGTAATGTAGACATTATAATAAATATTGATGAAGCTAATTTAGAAGACAATAAAAAAGATGGCTGATGATCTCATGAATTTTGTCGGTAAACAGTGGTGTGCAAACTAGTGACTCTTCCTGGCTGCCTACACCGTATGGTTCGTGTCGTCTTGTTGTTCTCAGAAGAGGCAGTGTATTATTTATGTGTAAACATAAAATATAGGGATGGTCATTTCAAAATATGACACTAATCTATAAATTCACTGAGGTGTTTAGGGATATATTTATTGACTGACCTGGGGAGACCTGGGTGATACACGTTGTTATCGATAGCAGTGGTTCGTTTGTATCTATGTTTTATCATCATAGTGATTATAGTATCATATTTCTGTGTATTCTTTATCTCTTCTTCTCTCTACAATCTTTGATTCACTTATCATTTTCATTTGTTTATTTCATTTGGTATTTGAAGTTTGGCAAATTGAACCATTACAGAGTAATGATAAGTCTTATGTTTGTCTTTCGGCTTCATAGTTAAATCATTTACGTCACCTATATTCTAGATGTTAGACTGAATGGATTAGGATTAAATTTTAGGCTATTATATAACCTTCAAAATTATGATAATTACCTTTCCTATTTAAGTTTGGTGAAGCTGACCCTCATGTAACTGACTTTTATGCTTAGTGCACTGTTTTTTATGCAGTTCATGTATTACCTTATTTTGGATGAATGAACTGTCTAACTAAATAAAATCCCGCATAAAACATCATATAGCTGATACAACATTTACCAGAAATTTATAATCTCTTAAATTATCTCCCTTGTTCGTGGCCATGAAGAAACAAGAAATATACTGCAGTCTTCTAGCTTTTTTAATTGGCTAATTTAATACTTCATATAATGTTGCAGAAATTTCAAAATCTAGCTTGGGGCACTGTATCTATTCCAGAAACATTTCAAACAAACAAAAACGACTGAAATCATTTGGAACTCTACTTTTATATTTTTACGAGTTTGCCCACAAATTGATATCACTTAGTTTATGCTCATTTCCTTACTTAGTGAATTTTTCGGTAGAGCCGTGATTGATGAAAATGGCTGGATTTAAATATGTTACATTTGTAATGTCCACAGTTGGTAAAAAGCAAGGAGATTTGTACATCTAATGAAAATATTGTTAGGGATTTAGAAATGAAGCAAAAGTAGGCATGGACTATGAATTCAAAGTTTACTAATTGGAAATACCTTAACTTGAGGTTATATTTGATTTTCGCATGTATACCATCAAGATCTTGCAGGAAATATGCAGTTTAGCTTCTCTTTTCAGGATGATTCTTTTTGATTAACTACCGATTTAAAATCTAATTTGTTTATTATATGCACCATATAGTGAAAAGTTTCCAAACACAATCGTTTGTCGTTAATAATCATACCAAATGCTACTGCAAAGTTTGAAGGCTAGATTTCTGAAGCTCTAATGCCTCCTCTTGGTTTGTCATTAAGGTAGAAAGAATCTATAGCTATTTGGAACAGTTGGTTAACAATCTCTGTTGCACATATTCTCAGTTGACTTCATAAACGAAGTATTTGTTGTCTTTCTCTCCTTTCACTCCGCTATACCATATTTTAGAACTATCACTTTGTCCCACCTTATTTTATTGTATGCGTAAGTGCCTATAAAACTATAGCTACACCATTCTTTATTTTCTTATCTTAGGAGTTTCTGTGATTTAGTAGTTTAATCGACCCCAGGATGTGTGACTTCATATTGATTGCACAGTGTTAGATAAGCTGAATCATTTTGTTTTTTGGGTTCCAAAAGAATTCTTTAGCTTATTCAGCTTGTTACTAAATAAGTTTGTGAGTTCAAATGCCTTGCTAACACCTGATTGGTACGAGTGTCTAAGTGAAGCTTCATATATTATGAATTCCTTGACTTATGTACAGTAACTTACTGTCTTCAAAAACGGCAACTCATTAGGCTGCACTCAGTAGCAGTGTGTCATGCACCGTTCAAGTTCAGAGCATTATTGCTAAATTGGAGGTAGTCTCTCCATATATTTAGATAGATTTTTAGAGGTAGTTGTTCAACACTAAGGATTCACTTTTATATCTTCTTGTATTAAATTGTCTCTTGTATTAGTTTCTTGTTTTGACCTATAACTTGAATAGATAACTAATGCTACTTCTACCGAAATATGGTAAAATGATTTAAAGTACTGCTTCAAATGTGTGCTTTTTGAAAGGTCTGGTAAACTTTTTCCCTTCTGGGTCCCTCTATTATTACAATCCAGCATCAATAGTGACATTAGTAGAGGAATACTACATTAGTAGACACTACTCAAAATCGCTTAGTCATGTAAAAGTTTAAAAATAGTCTTTGGATGCAGTAATCACAACTACTGATATCCGTCAGAAATGTCCACTATCACCGTTCTTATTTAGTTTCGTTTTACACATATGTGTGTAACTATGGTCAGATTCTATGTTTAATCCATTGATTTTTATCAGATAAACGTTTCGTTGGTTAAGAGTAAAGGTAGTGTAGTTCTTCTAGGTGAAGACGCTGACAAAATACAAACTTTTCTGAACCTTCTGAGTAGATGACTGAGTATAGTTTCCAAGTGGCTCAAACCTGTCAGATTTGAAACTATGATATGGCATTTATGTGTACGCACTTCCAGTTTAAGGACAGATACTGAAGCAGTTGGATGTACTGAGAAATTCAACGTAAAAACCTATTACTCGAGAAACATGTATTATGAAGTGCAGTTGCATTGGACATTAGACTTATACTCTGTTGGTTTGTTTAAACTTTTTTCACCACTTTGAAAACCTTTTTAAATTCTAGCATCACTCTAGAGGTGTATTAACCGTATGGAGTAAAACTTGTGGGGATATAGCATAAATAGCGACATTTCAGTTTCTAATGCCGTATCCATGGTAAGCTTAAGTTACTTTAGAATAAATACTAGGATGAACCTTTTTGTCTACTTCATTTATTCCATATAAAAATATGACCAACTGTATGCAGTGGAACAGAATAGCTGTTAAAGTTATAATCGTATTTTTGGAGAAGTGAGTTCAGTCTAAAGAGAAAATTTAACTTACTTTATGTAGTATTGTGGCGTGAGCTACTTATAACACTTATCAGTAGTATGTAAAGAGACGTTCATTGAAATAAAAAACCTTAAAGAGAAGGGATATAGACCTGATGTTAGAGAAAACAAATAATACAGAATTGCGGAGATACATGGGAGAGGTGAAAGGAACACAAAGAAACACATTATTTTTTAAAAGATATTTTGATTACAGCTTGATCCCACAAAGTATTTTGGTACAACTAAGGAATTTTCAGCATGTGATATAGGTAGTCTAAATTTTTCAGGCCGACCATTTATATCAGGTGTGCATCGGCTGGTGATCGAATCCCAAACCCTTTGCATGGTCGGTGAGCATCCTAACTGCTGTACCACTGACGCCAGGAATAGCACAACACGGAAGATCTGTGCAAATGGTGATTTGAAGATAAGGTGTACATAACTTCGCTATATAGAGACCAAATTCCAAATAAAACATTCCTTCACTGAGTCTGTCGTATTCGACCGTTACAGTAGGGCTTTGGAGTTAATTTGGACATTATTATGTGACAGATATTAGTACCACCAAATGCTGATTGATATCATCCATCATGCTGATAGATTTCCTAGGTTAGTTCTATAATAGACATGCGAAAAATTATATTGGCATATATTTGAGCGATATTTAGACAAACAATTTTAAACTTTCCCTCGATAAACTGGTTCCATTTCCTACACGCAGAGAATACATATGCGTACTTTCGACTCAGCGGTGTTTGTGGACCCGTCCGGATAAGTTTTGATCAGAGGTCATTTAAATCATTTTTATAGCAGTTATCAAAGAAATACCTATTTCACTTTTGTTTAAGATAAATGATTATGAATAAAAAAAATCATATTATGTAAATTTAATATTTCGGTTGATGTTAGGAATAACCTATTCTGTTTATCTTCTGTTTTAATTGATAAAATATAAGCGTAAATTGTATAAAATCAAAACACGAATTTAATGAAAATGCATTGCGGTTAGTTTGTTAAAATGCTCGTTACATACTGCCGGTTAGACAAAATAAGCAGACTATGAATATCTTCTTGGGTCTGCAAATACATCACATATTTTCGGGTAAACTCCGTATCCCTATCTAGAAACAAAAAAGTCAATAATTCAATATATACGTCTTTATTGCTTTAAACCCCCTTAATGATTGCATTTCCTGACATTTGACAAGCAGTAAGTGTTCTAAATAAATGAAGCTGGCCTTATTGTATTCACTACACTATTACAATTATGAAGTTTTTCTTTTTCTTTATGAAAGTATCAGTGAACAACATGAAACCAACAACAAAAATTGTTTTACCATTGATACATCCAAAAGTAGATTTGACACAGTAACATACATAAGAATCACGTTTGACTTCATTTGTGTAGTATTGTCTTAAGCTACACTCTCCCAAAGAAACTCACTGTATATAATCACATCTTTTCCTAATTCTTTATCATTTGAATAGTTTCAGTTGACCGTAACGATTACCTTCGCATATGAAGAACTGAATTCAATGATTAGGGATCTACAGAAAACTCTTCCATAGTCTTACAATCATGGCATTTTTTTGGTTGGTCAAAAGTGAATTATTCTTCGTTACCAGTGTACTGCGTGATGATAGCATTGATAGTCATTATGTATATAAATAGTATACGACGAAATACAATGAAGGGAAGGGAAGAGAGATTATAGTTGGGATAGTTAAGGTTAAACAGGGCGGAAATATAAACGCTACCAGATGATTTCAAATAAGAAGGAGACTGAAATAAACGTAACTAGAAATAGAATGCGACTGGTGTTCACACACATGGAATTTTAAAGCAAGCTGGGAATGTTTATTAAGTATGAAATATGGTTTGTCAAAATAAAAGTCATACAAAATCTTTGAGGTAAGCAACAAGTGTTACTATTGTAATATAAATTAACTTCCCGTTGAAAAGTAACAGAAAAAGCTGTGAATAAATGACTCACGAACGAATCAGTGTAGAACTATATATGCAAGGTCATTCATTAAATTTAACACACTTCATAGAAGCACACAATGAAAGGCGGCAGATAAACAGTGATAGTAAGTTAGATATCAAGGCTTAATTTAGCATGTAAAACAAAGCCATTATCTTGAACTACTTGCTATAGTGATATATTCATGAGAAGCTTGTCAACATTTTGAAAGCCGTTTGCATTGTACCGTTAGGTAGATCAACAACTATCATCGCTATTCTTAACCAATAGCGGGCTTGCTCAAACTCCCCAGTTAACCTTAACTTTATTATCGGTGACATTCTGAGGACAGCTCTGAATAATGTGAGTGGTGTTGATATGGTACCTGGAAAAAGAATTTTTGACACTTAGTAGGCAAGCGATTTCGTCCTAGTGTATTACAACACTTAAACAAGTTGAAGGTCAGTGTCTGCAAATGTAGTATGCTCTTTACTCTAAATGCAAAGTATTGTTGTAGGATTGGTATCACAAATCCATTAGTGAAGTCTGAGAAGTAATCTGAATCAGTAGCTTGATACATTCTTAAATATGATTGAAAATCATAATCAGTGGGGAATTTTCTTCGATCTGCTTATTTCCTGACTTTCTGGGAGTAAAATAAGTGTATAAACACTCCTTAAATGCTCTTGACTTCTGTGCTCATCTGTTTGCATGGTCCTGTTCGATTACTTTCGTATACATTAAGTTTTATTGTTTTTCGATGTGGCGCATCTATTGCTACACAAATTATAGCAAGCTTTTGATTACACAATAATAATAATAATAATAATAGCAGTCAGATTTGAAAATAGTGGTTTATAAGAACTACATACTGTTTAAAAATCATGGATCCTTGCACCAATTCCAAAGTGTGTTATGATTGTTAACTCTTCAACATTGTCCCACTAAGTGATTTATTTGATGATGCTGATGTAGTAACCCCCAAACATTATAACCACAATAAATCATATGCAATTGTTTTAATGAAATTCTGTTAGCTACTGCACTACAGATGATCCGCAGGTTGTTTTCGCATATTTAAGTTGCATTAACCATTTCTGAATTGAAATATTTTTGAAGATAATAGTAAATAGGCTTTTTCTAACTGTGTGAAATATAGATTTATTTCACTGAATTCGTAATTGCGTTGGTGGCACAGCCGTTGGGACTCTCACCGACCATGCATATGGTTTGATCCCCTGCCGACGCATATTTGATATCAATGGTCGGCGTGCAAAATTTGGGTTACCGATATCACATGCTGAAAATTTCATACTTCTACCAAAATACGGTTTGGAATCAAGCTATAATCATAATTAATTAATTAATACGAATTCGGATTTTAAATCAAAATTAATCCCGTGTTTTGACATTAATTGGATATACTTTTAAGGCTTCTAAGTAGTCTCATATGTGGTCGATTTCAGTATATACTGCAGTTGAATTTGTCAGAGGGAAAAGTGATGCATAAATATGGTCGAACAATCGCATGACTGTTCTGTACTAGCTTGTTTTGACGTATTTCTTCTCAGTAAGAGTTCAACTTTTAGTGGTCTGTTTCTGTTGATTCCATTTCTATTTCAAGGTTTGTGTCTGTTTTATTGACTGGAATTTGAATTCTTTGCACACATTTCGCAGGTCAGTTATCAAGATCGTCTGTCGCTGATAAGTTCTACTAATTGGCAAATATTTTCTTGTATCAGTGAAGCAGCCTTTACATCAAATACAGCAGAATCTTCAACGCCTGATTTACAGATATGCTTAGCCCAACCAGGTAACTTGGTATTTTGTAAAAAAATGACGATTTCATCCTAACACTGTCCATTTTTTCAACGAGTGTTTCTGTATATTTTGTAAAATCTGTGAACGAAATTTATTTTCTTTTTCTGTCTAACAAGATTACATACATGTCTTTATTTGGTAAAGATTGAGCCAATCAGTAATGTCTACAATACACTTGGCATCATATATGAGTTGTATTGACGTTGCTACAGCAACGATGTTCACTGACATTTAAAATCTAATAAGTGCATCTTTTTTTAAATTCCTTTGCTGACCACCGAATAAATCACGTTTTAGACAGTTGACGTCAAAATTAATTTCATAACAAGTTATCTGAATCCAAGGAATACAGGTAATATATTTGATTCACGCTAGGAACTACAACACTGTTTGATATGAGGTCGTGTTCAGTTGAAAAGCCTTGAAGTAAAACATTGTAATTGGAATTCATCGGTGTATGCATTGCAGTAAATACTGGTGTTTCTCCTGAGACAAGAAATTAATTCTCGTCGTTTCAAATCAAGTACGTTATTTACTAAACTGCTCACTCACGATAGCCAAATATTGCCCGACGAATACTAGTCTTACGAGTTGAGAATACTAGTCTGTTCTACAATTTGTAGCTTTTTCTAACAATGCTTTATGCCAATAACTGGCACCTAGATATTACCTATAGCATCATCTTGGTTATACTTTTATTGGTGTTTATTTATTTATTTTTATTTTTGCTTACAGCTTGATGCCACACCGTATTTTTAGTACAAGTATGGAATTTTCAGCTTTGATATCGGTAGCCCAAATTTTGCAGGCCGACCATAGATATCGGGTGTGCGTTGGCAGGGGATCGAACCTCGGACCATGTACATGGTCGGCGAGAGTCCTAACCACTGTGCCACCGACGCTGGAATCAGCATACCAACAGAGACTAATCAATTCATTTGGCTAATAAATAATAGGGAATATCGAAAAGTTTATTAAGAAATGAATTAATTTCATTTCACATCTATTGGTTCTCCTTATTAACTGGTGATCCTAGGAACTAGTGTTATGCGTCTAGTCCTCTCTTTGGTGAAGACTGAATTCTATCAGTCAGGTTGTAATGTGGCCACCATTCTAGGTAGCTCGCCATCACGGTGTACATAGTTTGTGATGATATTAGGTGATTGGAGGCAATCGGCAGGAAGCCTTGGACCTAGGTTTCGTGCTAGTTGGCACTCGTCAGCAAGGCGTATCTGCAACCTTGAAGGAACTCATGTCCCTTCTGAGATTCGAACCCGCGTCACCCAGTGCTGCATCATCACAAACAATGCACATCTTGATGGCGAGCTACCTAGAATGGTGGCCACATTACAACCTGACTGATAGAATTCGGTCTTCACCAAAGAGAGGACTAGACGCATAACACTAGTTCCTAGTGTCAAATCAAAATATCTACTACAGTCCTACAGGAGGTCAATCGCGAGCCCGAATAGCTCAGTGGTAAAGTCTCTGACTGCAGCACTGGGTGACGCGGGTTCGAATCTCAGAAGGGACATGAGTTCCTTCAAGGTTGCAGATACGCCTTGCTGACGAGTGCCAACTAGCACGAAACCTAGGTCCAAGGCTTCCTGCCGATTGCCTCCAACCGCCTAATAACTGGTGATCCGTTTTTTATTTTATTTTATTCCTTTGCGTTCCAAGTGGAACATAGGGCTTCAAGCTTCATCTTCAAATTTTCGGTGGTAGTGGGTTTATTTTCGCCGAGTGTGGCTGCCAGTCTCACACCCAACCTTGCGGGCTCACTACCATGTTAGCAAGTTTTAACAGCGTGTCAGCTGGGGATCGAAACTTGGACCACCTACGTGGCTGAAGAAACAACCTCCAGCTGAACAACCAATGCTGTTGACTTATTATCTTCTACCTGCAATAATTTTATGTGATGGCTTAATTCCATTAGCCAAAAGGTTGTCAGTAAACGGATGCATCGTCTGCATCTAAGAATGTGTTAATTTCATTGTAGACATCTGTAATTCTCAACAATAATTGTTTGGAAAATAAGAATAACGTCTGTACAGTTAGGCTGTCATCATAGATACTTGAGGTTTGCCTAATCATTCCTAAACGTAAGGATTACTTATTTATATCCTTTTATGTAAATTATATTTATTGACACCTTTAGGTAGAGTGTCAAAGTTGACTACTGTTCTATTAAGCCCTTCGTACTGTTACAGTTTTTCATTTTCACAGTGAAATTAATAATCATCTTAAATCCTTTCTCAGACCTGTATTACTGAATTGTTGCTACCACCGAATTTGGTAACTGAAACATTCAAATTGTGAAATCAATATTAGTATAAAGTGAAATAATACGTTAGCATCAGTGTACGGGTATTTTTGTTGATGCTTATATTAATAATCCTACATCGGTAACAAAATGTATCGAATCGTCTAAAAAAGCGACCTACAAAATTGCAACTTGTTTGTAAGCCTTAGTTTTTTGCTTTTGCTTCGCTTTGCTTCAATCGATAGCATAATAATTGCCTATCCACAGTACAATCTAAATATTATGTCTCTGAAAAATTTGTCTTTAAAAATTCAACTGAATAATTCCCAACTTGTCAAATCTCTCTGAATATCGATTTATAGAACCGAGAAACTTTTATTGATTAAGGCTAGCATTATCGTATATCTGTGACTGGTCTGTCATGTAGGAATAACTAAAATTTTTGTATGTGTATTTATGCATGTAAACATTTATTTTAGGTATAACTTGAAATTCTATTCGCTATCACTAAAATCCACACTACAACAATGCTGAGATAAAATAAAGATTAAGTAAAATGCTTTTATTTAGCTTTCTTTTTATTCTTCTGGAGTCCATATATCTATAATAAAGATAAAAATCGACCCGTATAAAGTGGGAAAATGTTTTCGCCGGGTTTTTTAAAATTTGTCTAGAGAAATAAGGATTTTCAATATCACAGTTTTCGATAATTTACTTCTTCGTACATATTCTACGCTTGTCTTCACTTTTACCCTCTTATTAACAATGCAGTATTTGCTTTAAGTAGAAATTCTGTTGACACTGAAGTCTGCTCCTGTTTGGCGCTGTTTTTATAGCAGAGCCTTTTAAAATGAAACTATGACTTCTCTTGGTGTTACGGACTAGACGCCTAATAGGCCACCTTCTTATAGATGAATCTACTCACAAAAATATTTTAAACTTACACATCTGCAAAAGTGGTCAGTTGTTGATACATATGAACCAAGTTATTATTTTTGTAAATTTAACGTTGGCTCCAAGTGTAGATGTTATCGTGCTATTAAAAGCTGCCTTGGCTCTATACTGAATATTAGATTGCGGCAAGGGTAAGCAACCAGGAAATCTGGAAGCAGACTATCCAAGAGCCAATTGCCTAACAAATATTCAAAAGGAGATCGAGATAGATTGGAAATATGCTGAAGAGACCGTGGGGTGACATCAATCGCCAGGATCTTGAGTGAAGCTCGAGTTGAAAACAACTACTTGGGCGTCCAAGAGTGACATCGAGGAGATAACGTGAGTAGGAAATGACACCTTGTTGACAATGATGGAGCCAAATGAAAAAGACCACAGAGAACGGAGTGGATGGAGATGTGCTGTTGAAGTCTTATGTTTCACTTGGAACTCAGGGGAATAATAATATAATAGTACTAAAAGCATATCGTATATTTAATTTTTTTTAAATAGAAAAAAATTCATTCTGGCTGTCTGAATTAGCTATCACACTACTGAAACTGTTTTATTGAAATCATTGTACACGAAATATTCAACTCAAGACAGATGAATACAATTAGTATTTTTTAGGTAGATGAATAGGATAAGTGGTACATCAAATCGTCAGAGGAACTCAGAAAAATGATAATCTTTATCTTCTTCTTATTCAGCTAGATGTAACAAATCGTTTAAATTTCTGTAATATCAAAGTTCCTGAGTGTTGTCATTCAATACTGGGATGCAAATAACTTCATATTCAGAGGTATCCCTTGAAAACTGGTGCAGAATCATAATAAATGCACTGTTGGTAAAAATTAATATCCATAGATAGTGTACATAATGTTAACGTTTAGGATCTTTACAATATTAGAAACCTCCACGATTTCCAACAAGCAGCCACCTTCTCCTGAATTGATGTCAGTGCCATCTTGTCGCTCTCCATTCAGAACCCACTATAGGGGCCTGGCACGTGATAACACCCAACGGTCTCATCAGTGTATGTTCCATCCATTTTTATTCTCTTCTGTATATCTGTCAGGCAATAGGTCGTTGGCTGGTGCGCAGCTTATCATTTCCGGTCTGGCATCTGATTTTCAATACGAAGACATACGAAAACAGGTATTGATGAAAGCCTGAAGGCCTCTAGAAACGCTATTGGTGACATGTCGAGACTCTGAATCACATGGAAACACTGACTTGACTCTAGTTTTGAAGGCATGGGCCTTGTTATTTATGGTGAGTACAGAAGATTTCCACACTGATTTCGGGTTAATGAAGGGCTGCTTTGATTTCTAACCCCGGCTCGCTTTGGCATCCTCATTCATGCCACCTTTAGTTGAGACGATGATGATCAGGAAAGTCAAAGGGGTGACCTCCTTCGTATTTCTCTTGTTGATGGAAACTGATACTTGTTGTTGTTGGTTAGATATCTGTTTTCTCTGTGTCCACTTGAAGTCCTATCTTCTCGCTCTACACAATCTGTCACATGGTCCATTCTACCACAGTCAGGAATCCTGTCGGTGATACCATGCAGCTTTTTCTTACTCCTGTTTTCATTTCAAACATTTTATTAAATTTTCCGTTGTGAACCACCTGTGATGTGATGCCACCGCATAACTATGGCATGAACTTTTTGCGTCACTGTATAGTGTGGTCGTGAAACAGTTTCCAAGTTATTTCACGGTCAGCGCTACCGAAGACTTTTCTAAAGTTGACAGAATTGGAATAGAGAGTTGAATGCCATTCTGTGCTTTATT